CTCTTCTTCATTATTTTGCGACATGTTTTTTTGAATGAATTATTATTTTGAAGATACATAAATGGGCTATAAGAAAATATTTATGTCTTCTTTTTCTTCTTTTTCTTCTTTTTCATCTTATTATTCTTCTTCTTTTTCTTCTTTTTTCTTCTTCTTCGTCTTCGTCTTCTTCTTCTTCTTCTTCTTCTTCTTCTTCTTCTTCTTCTTCTTCTTCTTCTTCTTCTTCTTCTTCTTCTTCTTGTTCTTCTTCTTCTTCTTCTTCTTCTTTTTCTTCTTCTTCGTATTCTTCTTCTTTTTCTTCTTCTTCTTCTTTTTTTTTTCTTCTTCTTATTCTTCTTCTTCTAATTCTTTAAAGGTCCTAGAACATGTAGAACTGGCCCTAAACCAAATCCCCACTCCCCCAAGCAATAACCTCAGCGTATGTCCCACAAGAGACTGCAGCCTACGTCGTACGATTGCACGAATCCAATGACAACAACGAGCAAAATACGACGTATGGCTGTACGCTCACTAAGCGTGGCATCCCTGCATCCTAGGACAGGCCCAGGGAGACTGCGAGACATGAATGGCAAGGGAAGTAAGCCTCTTTTAAGGCCTGCCGTCGTAACTTGAACCAATTATTGTGAGCAGTATTTTTTGCCACAGGAACATACGAAATTATACTCGCTTCTAAGCTCTGGGTAATAAATACTATGTAATGAGCTTTTTTTTTTTTTTTTTTATTTAAAACAATATGCTGTATTCTTGACAAACTGTGACTGCGTTTTGGCGTATGCTGCTTTGCCATACAATGACAAATTCTTGTGCAGTTTTATGAAAATTCTCCTTGTCCATCTTTTCCTTGATAGATCATAGTTATTGCCAGAATAATGGACACAAGACCGCACAGAAACTGCAAAATAAAAATAAAAAAGACACTTTCAAAATAATGACGTTTTTAGGGACACTGCACGTTTAAACTCTACCATTACTACTACAACCACCACCAACACCATCATCATCATCATCATCACCACCACTATCATCATCACCACAATCACCACTATCATTATCATTCTCACCACCATCATCATCATCATCATTACCATCTCACTCATCTGCACCCCCATCAACATCACCACAGCTATAACCACCAACATCATTTTCACCATCATCACACCCTCACCACCACCGTTACTATCACCACCGCCATCACCATCATCATCATCACCACCTTCATCATCACTTTCACAACTATCCACTATCATATCATTAGAAACATCATCCTTATCACCAACATCAACACCACTACCACCACCATCATCATCATCTACACCATCATCATCGCCCCCCTCCCACGCCCCCCCCCCCCCCACCCACCGTCACCACTCTACTTTTGCTGAGAAGCAATCCTGTCTCAAAACACGCAGAGCTAAGATTAATTACACATAGGATTGAATAATACATACTCGGCAATAACAAAAGAACAACTAGAACCTATGATAACTGAAACGAATTTATGCAAGCAGGGATCAAGGGAGACAAAAAAAATTATTGACATTCTACGGAAATGTGTGAGAGCAAGAATTAATGCATTGTGCATTAAAGTTTGCTCGAAGAAAACAACAAATCAGAAGAGAAATCGGACGAATAATTATGGAAAAACTTCCATTGACTAAGACACAGACAATGATTCAAATGTGCACAGATAATTGTGGCATTTCAAATAAACAAAGGGAATAGTACAAATTGATATCAAGAGAAACAGATCAAAGGATTTGGACATATATCAAGACAGTCTTCTTATCCTTCTTCTTCTTATCTCAAAAACAACCGAGAAAGGAGAAGCTAGGATAATAGCAGAAGAGTTCATCCAAAGCCTGACCGAAGACAGTTCCCTCATTATATACACCGATGTTTCCAAAAATGAGAAGGGCAAGGTCGGTGCGGGTCTCTACTCACCAAAAGCCAGAGTCATAGAGCAGTTCAAACTAACAGACGGGGTCGCCATATGCACCGCCGAACTGATAGGGATACAGAAAGCTCTGGAGTTAGCCCTGACAACAATGCACAAAAAAGCCTACGTTTTTACTGACTCGTTGGCCGCAGTTCAAGCACTAAGCACCCTCTGCAAAAATAGCAGACCCGACATCAAAGAGGGTATCCTGACCGCAGCAACAAAACTTAAACAAAAGGGGTGCCAACTGACAATCGGCTGGATACCAGCCCACAAGGGAATAATCGGCAACGAAAAGGCCGACATGGCAGCCAAAAGGGGCATCAACTGCGACCGCACCCTAGACATAGGCCTGGGCAAATCAGAAGGCCGTGCAGTCACAAGACAGTATATTACAGAGGCCTGGGACACACAATGGCAACAATGAGTGCAGGGCAGACACGCCTTCCAACTGCTAAGAAAACCCAGACTTGCCTCCCAGATTAAAGACCCTATGAAAATACCCGTTTTCAACAAATTATGGAACCTCAGACTCGGAAACTGGACGGAAACGTACAAAACGCCGAGGTGCTCCGAATGCAATAAATACAACACATTAGCCCACTACCTACTGGAATGCTCCAAGTACAAAGTGCAGTGGCGCCCATTAATGAACCACCTACAGAATAAAAACACCACTCTCTCTGTCACCGAGATCCTACATGTGAACAGCGATCCTGACATCCAGAAACTGGTGAAGCAATACCTAAGTAGGACAAATGCTGGAAAAACTACTGGTCCAACCAACCCAGCAACAACAACACAATCAGGAACAGCTCAACTACCCACCGAGAGGGAAACAGACCAGAGGACAGCGACACCCCGACTCTCAAGTCAGGACGCCTAAAAAAGAGCCTCTAAAAACTACTCATCTATCTACAACTTCCGACCTCACTATAAGTCCTTAAAAAATTTTCGGAACATTATCAATTGACTTTACCTATACTCATGTCCACTACATCTTTACCATTTTTTACAAGAAGTAAACTTGTCTAAACAATTGAAAAAAAAAAAAAAAAAAACGCCCCCCCCCCCCCCCCCCAAAAAAAAAAAAAAAAAAAAAACAAGAGCCAAGCGCACATGTACATGCAAGATGCGAAAACATAAAGGCACAAAAAAAAAGATCTTAAATGTGGGGACCTGAAAAGGGCCGTGTTTTGGGGCGCAAGGTGGCACGCTTGTTTATCTCGAGATCGTGACACTGGTGGTGCCTTGGTGCACTCAGCGACGGCGGGCTGGACAACAAGATACGCAACAAGGAAGTGACATAAGGCTGACAGGTGGCACAAATACAGGCGTATGAACACACCACAAATGGACAAAAACTATTGGAATTCCCAATCTATTAAACGCAGTCCCAACATAACCGCCGCTCAAATTTGGAGCTGGTTAGGGCGACAAGAACATTTATTTTTTTTTTTTTCAAACAAACTGAAACTGGAACTATCGTTCTTCTTCTACTCTTGGAATGTCTCATAGTGTCTGTACAGAAAGATATCTCTGTCTGAATCGGGTCCTTCTGTTAGTTTTGTATATAATACTTTTCAGTAACTTCACTATTTATGCGGTCTATGTTCTGCATGGTCCACCTCTTGCTCTGTTACCACTGTATCTGTATAACTTTGCTCTGTTACCACTGTATCTGTATAACCTTGCTCTGTTACCACTGTCTCTGTATAACTTTGCTGTGTTACCACTGTCTCTGTATAACTTTGCTCTGTTACCACTGTCTCTGTATAACTTTGCTCTGTTACCACTGTCTCTGGATAACTTTGCTCTGTTACCACTGTATCTGTATAACTTTGCTCTGTTACCACTGTATCTGTATAACTTTGTTCTGTTACCACTGTATCTGTATAACTTTGCTCTGTTACCACTGTATCTGTATAACTTTGCTCTGTTACCACTGTATCTGTATAACTTTGCTCTGTTACCACTGTATCTGTATAACTTTGCTCTGTTACCACTGTATCTGTATAACT